TGAAGGGTCAACTTATACCAGATTTAACTTGCGTAGCCGTTAGTATGTACAATGAAAGGGGAAGTGTGGGCGAAATTAGAATTTGAGCTGAGATAGTATGGGCTCAGGAAATGTCTGCCGCGCTGCGCCAATGCGTGTCGTGTTGGCGAACTTCACGTCTTCGAATTTATCGAATTATAAAGTTTAAACTAGGCCTTTAAATACTTTGAAAAATAGGGTTATTAAATACCTGATATAGGATATGACAATTTCTTACGAAGGTGATGCTCGTATAAAACATTCTATGCTATTTAATAGATGGCCCATTATGTACGACTTGACTTCACGATCGCACAGGCAAGTAGTACCTATTAGCGGCGCTCCACGGGTATTGGACGTGACAGAGTCCACTGAGTGTACCCGCATCGGGGTCACGGCGCGGTATCCCGCTTAACACAGCTGACAAAAATGCATTACATAAGTATGTATAAACAAACAAAAATCAAAATAGATGATTAATAAACTGACGGACGAAAAATCATTTGTAAGACGAAAAATCATTTGTAAAAAAAATTAAAGGAACTACTTATAAACAAGTGTTACTATAGTACTTCTGAATTTTTAGAAGAGAAAATATGATATACATATGTAAATGTTAATATGTTAGGTAATAATGAAATGCCATCCTACTAAATAAATTACAATAAAAAAATTCTAATAAAATTTTAAATGTCAAATAATTTAAAAATTCAACTGTGCTAATTATACTACCTATAATAATAAATTAAATGTCAAAATCAATTAATAAATAATAATAATTATAATAGCCGTATTCCAAATTCAATGTGTGTATGTTTATATAATCATTATATTATATAATCGTTATATTATATAAACATACACACATTGAATTTGGAATACGGCTATTATAATTCATCATCATCATCATCATTCGAACATAGGCCTCCCCCAAGTAACGCCACAAAGTACGGTCCTGAGCCACCTGCATCCATCGACTTCCTGCATGTCTTACCAGATCGTCACTCCATCTAGTGGGGGGTCGCCCTACACTACGCCTACTGGTACAAGGCTGCCACTCGAGAACCTTTCTTCCCCATCGGTTATCGGTTCTTCGAACTATATGGCCGGCCCATTGCCACTTCAGCTTACTAATCCGTTGGGCTATGTCGGTCACTCGGGATTTACTGCGGATATCCTCATTTCTGAGTCTATCACGCAGAGAAACTCCGAGCATAGCCCTTTCCATAGCTCGCTGAACCTTGAGCGTCCTCATATGGCCAGCACTGAAGGACCACGTTTCTGATCCGTAAGTCATCACTGGCAACACGCACTGGTTGTACACTTTAGTTTTCAAAGATTGAGGTATACCTGACGAGAAGATGTGTCGTAGTTTCCCGAACGCTGCCCAGCCGAGTTGAATCTGTCGATTGACCTCTCGGTCGAAGTTGGACTTAACTAGTCGGACTATTTGTCCCAGGTAAACGTACTCGTCAACAACTTCGAGCATAGTGCTCCCAACAACTACCGGCATAGGTGTGACATGGACATTGAACATGATCTTTGTTTTGTCCATGTTCATCTTAAGACCTATCCGTTGGGAGACACCATTGAGGTCATTGAGCATAGTGCTAAGGTCCTCCAGCGATTCTGCCATAAGGACTATATCGTCGGCAAATCGAAGGTGAGTGATGTACTCGCCATTGATGTTAATACCGTATCCTTTCCAGTCCAGTAGTTTGAAAACGTCTTCCAACGCAGCGGTGAAGAGTTTCGGGGATATAACGTCACCCTGTCTTTCACCTCTCTGCAGTTGGATAGGTTTCGAACTCTGGTTCTGTACTCGGATAGCCATCGTAGCCCTATTGTATAAACACTTCAGCACTTCGATATACCGACAGTTAACTTGGCACCGCTGAAGGCACTGTAGCACCGCCCAAATTTCGACGGAATCAAAGGCTTTCTCATAGTCCACATACGCCAGGCAAAGTGGCAGATTGTACTCTTCGGTCTTCTGTACAATCTGCCGCAGGTTATGTATGTAGTCTATGGTACTGAAGCCTTTTCGGAAACCGGTTTGTTCGGGAGGCTGGAAGTCGTCGAGTCAGCGTGCGAGACGATTCGTAATGACTCTCGAAAACAGCACGTATACGCGGCTCAAAAGGGAAATCGGTCTGTAGTTATTCAAGAGAGCGTTGTCGCCTTTCTTAAAGAACAAGACCACCGCACTTCTGCTCCACGCCTCTGGAGTAGTGCCACCATGGAGGATGGAATTGAAGAGCTTATAAAGGACTTCAAGTACCGGTGTTCCACCCGCTTTCAGAAGCTCCGCCATCCATCCTCGTCCCATCGTCGCCATCAATCCATCCTCGCCTGGGGCCCTGCCGTTTTTAAGGTGCTGGAGAGCCATTCTAATCTCGCTCAGACTGACGTCCGGGATATCATCGGAATAGTGTCGGGTAAGATTTGCTCTTGGATCGTTACTCACACTTGCGTGTGGCTCCAACGATGATGTGTACAGCTGCCCATAGAACCTCTCAATCTCACTCAAAATCTCAGGTGTCCCGGAAACGATGCTGCCACACTCAGTATTCAGCTTTGACAATTGGTTCTTTCTGGCAGACAGATCTCTGGCAAAGACTTTGGAGCCCTGGTTCCGCTCGATCGCTTCTGTAATACGAGCAGTATTAAAGTTGCGTAAGTCTCGCCGTATGCCTTTGGAGATCTGTCTGTTCATTTGCCTGTATGCTTTCAAATCTGTTGACGATTGCAGCCTCATCTCCCGTCTAACAGCCATGAGATTAAGAGTGTGATCGGAGAGTTTTTGTGTTTTTCTGCGGTGGGTCTTGCAGAACTTAGCTCCGACCGCATGGACAATTTCCACGAGCTTGTCATTCATATTGTACATTGCATTGCAATCTTCTAGGCACTGAAAGCGGTTACGGAACTCGAGCTGAAAAGTCTCGGGATTCTGGATTAGAGCACGAGGGGGACGGAGCGTTGACTTCTTTAGACGAGACCTCTCCAACTTAATGTTTAGGTTCAGTGTGCCTCTAACCATTCGGTGATCGCTGCCGGTTTTCACCTGAGACACTGAGACATCACTGAACAGTTGGCGTCTGGTCGTCATAATGAAGTCAATCTCATTTTTTGTCGAACCGTCGGGGCTCGACCAGGTCCACTTCCTGTGGGGCCGCTTCTGGAAGAAAGAGTTCATCATAAAGAGTCCCTCTTTCTCCATAAAGTCAGCCAGCTGCTGGCCCCTACGGTTCCGTTGCCCTACTCCAAATTTCCCTAACTTTAGCTCACCGCCTTCTCTTGTGCCTAGTTTTGCATTGAAGTCTCCCATCAACACCGTGTAGTGGGTTTTGGAGGAATGCATGGCTCTAGAAATATCCTCGTACATTTCCTCCACCTCCTCATCGGGATGTGCCGAGGTTGGTGCGTAGACCTGTATGACCTTCAGCGAATAGCGTTTGGTGATTCTGAGTATCAGGTACGCGACCCTCGTCGACATACTCCCATTCTTTACAACGTTATTGACGAGAGACTTGTGGACGATAAATCCGACACCTCCTTGGGACAGATGGTCGCCCTCTCGGTGATAGAACAAGTTGTCGGACTCGAGGATTACCGTGTCCTCTCCCTCTCTTCGGATCTCAGATAATCCAATAATATGCCAGCGCAACTTGTCCACCTCTTCTTCCAGCTCCAGTATCTTCTCGCCAGTCCTCAGGGTGCGTGCGTTATACGTTGCCAGGTCGAGTCGTCGTAGGTGGCAACCGAACCTCCACCGGAGATTCTTAGCACCCCTGCCCCGCCGTTACCATGGTCGCCACCGTAGCCAGGAATAGCGGGGCCGCCGGGGACTGGGGGCCGTTTATTTGTGTCGTTGCTCATGGGGGGATATTTGCCATAGTTGCCACGCTTGGCGAGCGGGTTGGCACGGTTTTTTTATTATGTTATTGTTGTTATTAGGAAGATGCTGCTGCCCATCTCCTGCCTGTCTCCCTCTGTCGCCTCTTACGACACCCACGGGAAGATATGGGGTAGTGGATATTCTCAACCGCCACTACACGGCAATTTACTGTTTCATACAAAGCTATTATAATTGTTATTATTTATTAATTGATTTTGACATTTAATTTATTATTATAGGCAGTATAATTAGCACAGATGAATTTTATGTTTAATGTTAATATTAAATAGTTATTTAACAATAATAATAATAAAACAAAATAAATGTTCCTCCTTCATAATATTGCTGTGCCCATCAGGGTCTATAGAGATACCATAAAACTATGTAACACCTTTTGTAACCTATGGAATGCAATTGAAATGAAAGAGTATTGAGACTGAAAAGAGGACTGATTTACTATTGATTTATATTGATATTATTAATTTATAACATTGTCCTCTCCCTTTTTTAATGTCATTCTATTGTTTTCTGTTTGTCTGTCTGTCTGGTTTTATTTTCTTTCATTTTTAAACAAATTAAATAACTTAATTAGACAATTAGTGTTCAGAAATAATAAAAATAGGTTTATTAGGTATAACTTTAATTCTTTATATTTAAATAAGAACGACCCGTAGTTTTTTACCTCACATCTTGTCTGAACATTTCAATTTATTTGCTTGATAGAACAACCCTATTCGCCCGCTCGCGACTAACGTCCGCTCCGTCAGCATCTCACTTCGCACCGCATCGCACGGTTCCCCTCGTCGAGACAGCTTCGATGACCGACAATCGTCCAGTTTTGTAGCTCATATCATCATGGTTGATACGTTTATGTTAAAAAAGAAACATCAATCTCACGATTAGATTTTTTTTAGAAAATAATTCTTCGGTTTCCTCATTACAAATATATGAAACACGCCTAAAAATGATAAATCAATTAAATAATGTAATATTCTTTAAATATCTTCGAAATCTTTGTATGAAACAGTAATTTCAGCTTAAATTTGTTTTGATCAGATGATTATTATAAACTTTTATTTTTTAGGTCAAAATACATCAGAATTTAATGAGAAGAATCAACAACGCCTCTGATACCACTCTTCAGTCTCTTGGTAAAATTACAAAAGACAGTATAACTGGAACAAGGAAAATAGTTGAAATGATGCTTACAGAGATAAAGGCTTTAGCTCAAAGTTTAAAAAATCTCATGTATAAAGTAAGAAATGCTTATATGCTACGCATTTTGGTGAAAGTAGTGCCAGCTATATCTCATTAATTTTACAGAATGTTCCAATATTTGTGTTTATAGTAACGGCTTAGCTTGATTTCTAATATTTTTTTATTTTATTTTATAAACACTCACTCCTGTCACCCAGAGGGGTAGGCAGAGACTACAGACTTCCATTTGGCACGATCCTGACACACCTCTCTTGCCTCCTTCACATCCATACACCTACGCATACATGCTCGTCGGTTAAGGGTACTCCTAATTTGGCCGGTTTTCAATAAATCGCCAATTTGGTCGATAAATTTTCGCCTAGGACGTCCCTTTTCAACTCTGCCATTCACTTCTGCACCATAAATTTTCTTTGTCACTCTTTCCTCATTCATTCTTTCCACATGACCAAACCACCTAAGCATTCCTTTCTTAATCCTGGTCACAACATCATCTTGCAAACCACACTCTTCTCTTATTACACAATTTCTTACCCTGTCATTCAGATTCAGCCCTAACATACTCCTTAATGACCGCATTTCTACTGCGTTTATTCTACTCTCGTGCTTCTTCTGCCACACCCAACTTTCACTACCATACGTTAAAGTAGGGACCAACACAGCATTGTGAATTGCCATACGTGCCTTTTTCGACACATTTTGAGAGTGCAAGACCCCATTTACTCTATTTCCCGCATTCACTCGTCGTTCTATATCCTTATCATATCTCCCATCCCTGCTAAATACGCAGCCCAAATATACAAACTCATCTACTTGCTCGATCAACTCCCCTTCTATTCTTATTTCACAAATCGTTTTACTTTCTTCTCTTTCAAAAACCATAACCTTCGTCTTACTTGCGTTCACTTTCATACCACTTTCTTTTAATGATCCGTTCATTAATGTAACCATCATTTGGAACTCGGCCGCCGACGACGCAAGAATAACTTGATTATCGGCGTACAAAAGGCATTTGACGGTTAACTCACCCATTCTTAATCCGCATTCTTCAACTTTCAATTTTTGCAAACAACTGTCCATAAATAGGTTGTACAGCCACGGGGAAGCCACACAGCCCTATCTGACACCTTTATGGATGTCAAACCAGTCCGATTAGACCCCGTTGATCCTAACACAAGCACTAGAGTCCCTATAAAGAGACTCCAATGCCTGTATCAAGCCAGCGCTCAACCCGAATGAGTTCAGTGTTTGCCATAGCAAATCCCTATCCACTCTGTCATAGGCCTTTTCCAAGTCCATGAACGCACAAAAAACCTTTTGGTTTTTGGCCAGAAACTTCTCCGCGATCATGCGCATGAAAAAGACTTGATCTGTACATCCCATTCCCTTTCTAAATCCCGCTTGCACATCCCAAATTTTTCCATCAGTTTCTTTCATGACCCTTTCAATCAGTACCTTAGCATACAATTTTCCCACAATGCTAAGAAGGCTGATGCCATGGTAGTTTTTACAGTCCTGCTGCGACCCTCTTCCTTTATATACTGGGACTATCACGGCTTTGCACCAGTCTACCGGTACCCGCTTCAGTTCCCAGCATAAATTAAACAAGGTGTGCAGCAGGCCTGCCACCACTTCCTCTCCAGCCCTTAGCATTTCGAGTGAAACTCTATCATATCCGGCAGCCTTACCTGCTTTCATGCTTTTCATTGCTTTCATTATTTCATCTATACTTATCTCGCTACCTCTTTCCTCTTCTTTCGGTGTTTCTACTTCACTTAGTACACACGTTGTCTCCTCACTCATAAACACGCTTTCAAAATATTCCTTCCATCTCTTTGAACTCAAAACTTCATCATTTAGAATATAGCCATTCTCGTCTCTTATAGCATTCATCATAGGCTGTTTTGAATGTCCCCTGGCAGTTCTTACAAGTTTCCAGAACATTTTAATATTTGCCTGGAAGTTATCCGATATTCTTCTATCATTCTTATCCGTTCTTTCTTGCTTTTTTCTTTCAACTACTTCTCTTACTCTCTTATTAAGATGTCTAAAGACTGCCTTTTTTCTTTCAATATCACCATTCGTACCACTAGAATTAGCAGCCTTTGTTGCCAGTAAATCTAGCCATGCTCTCTTCTTTGCTTCAACTTCCATACGTATCTCATCATCCCACCATAACGTATTATTTTTCCTTTCATTCTTTCTCTTACTAACACCACATACGTTGGTAGCTGCATCCACTAAACCTTTCTTTACATTTTGCCATATATTCTCCAAGTCTAACTCCTTCATACATAATTCATCCAAACCACTTATATTTTCTTTCAGTCTACATTTGAACTTGTTTTTATCACTTTCATCTTGTAACCTTTCTGTTCTAATACGCTGTAACGCAGTGGTAGACACAGACGATCGATGGCGCCAACGCCTGAATAGACCATTAATTCGGCATAAAACTAAATAATGATCCTATTTCTAATATAACATATTTTAACCGTTTTTCTTTTGTGGGTTCGTTTAACTGTCAAAATGCCTATAACATTGCATCTCTGAAGTCGAGAAGAACGTAGTAAAAGGAATTCCTCTGCGCGTACACTACTTGTGGTATAAGTATTTTTCACGCTTTGTCAGGCGGATTAACGAACGCAGTACCTATAACACATTTTGCACCGCTGATGCTGCTTCTCCTTGCTGGCTTGAGAATTTTACGCGTAGGGTAAGGATGTTTATATAGACATGCACCTGACGCTAGAAAATCTCTCTCAGATAGTTATCTCTTATGAACTTCATAGGATAATACCTATGGGGTTATGGATTCTCTTTCACCCCCAGATGACAACGGTGTTATAAGATCACTACATTGGTATGGATCAATACGTAAATAAATAATTTTTTAATCGAATACAACTCAGGCACCTGACGGATGGCCAGACATCGTTATATGGTTATTAAATGGAGGCACTAGAGTGGGATTCTATAAAATACCTCCTACTGATGTTATTCATTCACCGATAACTGAGCAAACAGGAAAAGATTGCGGGAAAATAAGGACTATTTATTTAAAGGTGACATTTATAGAATATACTCTTTACTTACCAAATAGTTTACTATAATCTAAAAAAAAATTACAATTTTTACTACAATTTGTATCAGTAGTGTAAAATATTTTAAACACCGATAAAAAATATTTTAAGGTATAAATACATATTTGAAGTTTATCTGAGAAAACTGAACTGTGTTTGTAAAATTCTTTGGTTTATCGACATGTATATAATAGTAACAAATTAAACTAATATACCTTACTTTTTATTGGTACAATAACAAGTTCCGAGTTGATGGTATTATTTTGAAATGATACCACAAATATAAATTTACTAAATATTGCAATTATTTTTGTAGGTTCTATTACCTTTTGAAAGGCTACAACTATCGCTTTAAGTGAATTGACTGCTGTTTGTTTTGATAGTTTAAAGTGCAATGCGGATTAAATAAAGACTGAATAATCAGTTTTGGTTATTTAATCCTCTGCATGTGATTTGAAAAAATATATGAGAGATAATTAATAAAATCAAGTGTTACTTTGCGGGAATGGAATATAACAAAGATGTTAAAAATTAATTAGCTTTAGATCCGCACAATAAATTAACCCGTGTACACACTGGCGCCGATACCACTAATACCAACACCACTACACCAAGAAAGACACACCACCATCGATGATCCGATACGTGTTATGCTGACCACTAGATAGGAGGTGCTCTTAAAACTAAGTAAGACGAATTTTAAGCTAATTTTTAATGCCTTAAATACGAGACAAGAAACTGATCTTAATACACTTGGATTAATTTCGTCATTTCTTTTTCACATAAATGAATGAAATCTATGTGAATCGTTTTAGGGCGCATAGTCCATTTTAACATTGCCCTTTTCCAGTCACTTAAAAGATTTTCTCCGATCTGTGAACACTGTCGTTTTGTTCTTCGTAATGTGCTCCAATCACAAAACTTTTACTCGTCAAGTGTGATTCAAATCCCTGACAGGAATAAATCAGCATTCATATTCTATGTTAATATTCCAACATTATGTCGTAAACTTGACGTACAGTACAGATTTTTTACTTGACTTCGAGATCGACCATTTGGTATAGATATTGACATAGTTCGGTACGAAATCATAAAGCTCATGAAGTGCACATTAATCACGGTAATTATTATATTGCATTTTCTTATCCCACAAAATTATAATTTTGTAAAATTACAATTTGATTTAAAAAGTGAAAAATTAAAAAAGGCCGGATATCTATCGTAACTGACATAATAGATCCATATTTAGCTGACATAATTTGAATTCAGGTAAAATATAAAGGTTTGAATTATGTCAATGTTCATGTTTGTATGTTTCTTCTTTTCTAGCCTTTGAAATGCCCAAAGCATTTAAATTCGTTGCCCAGTAGCTGCTTATGCATTGCTGCTAAGTTGGAACTTATTGCATGGATGGGTACTTTCCGCGAAAGGAATGCATTTGAAAACTTTCTACCTGAGGGATACAAGCTCAAAGTCAAGAACCATGACATGTGTGTTAGGACTACAACAATGGTAAACTTCTGTTTTTATTTATATGTATAAGGGTGTTGAACGAGCACACAGTCCTCTTGATAGTAAGTAGTTGCTGTGGCCCATAGACACACTGTACTGCATACGCCCAACGCGAAGTGACGACACAATGTAATATGAAAGGTGGTCAATGGATACTATTGCTTCAAGACCATGCTTTGTAGCTATATGTGGCAACGATTATATTTAGAAATGGGCTGCAAATTAAACAAAAAGAGGTCACAAAGACGATTATTGTGTATACCTCATTTAGAACATTACAACTACTACAATCTAAAACACTCCATCGACCTATTCGTGCTGCAGCCTTCAACGTGGCTATACCATATACCATAAAAAGAGTAAATAAAACGACATTACGTCATCAAATATTCTCGTATCACAAATATGAATCCACTAAAATTTAATTATCAGTTAAATTTAGAAAATTGTAGACAAAGATACATGATTGCGAAAGTGCTTTTTACTTTAAAAAAATACCGGGAAATTAAATAACATTATTTATTCGCACCATTTCAGATGCTGGAGTACCGCGCATTTGTGTATAGAGCGAAAATAAACGGTAGTAACGAGTCAACACCCACGCACCCTTTCCTCAGGATCAACGTAACGAACTCTGTAAAGGAAACACAAGTAGGCTTACTTCGTCTGTATTTACAGCTATCTCCGAAATAAGATTCGAAATGATACTTTAAATAACCGAACATTTTTTCCATGTTTTTATATCATTTATTTTTATTTTTTGTGCCGAAGCACGTATGTAGACGTTTGCTTGAATTAATTTAAGATGTTTTCCATCAAATGTATTATGGCAAAAACCTTCAAAGAGACTTATTTATTGAAATTAGAAGTCATTTTCCGGTAATATCGCTACCTTCGAAAAATGTCGGAATCTAAATCAGGAACGATTAATCTGAAAGTACGTTGATAGATTCTGATTCAGGATAGATCTCACGAACAGCGTGCAATATAATATAATGTCATCATTATAATTTCTTTTCTTCTTTTAATTTGCACCACGTCACAAGTGGCTTGTGAGCAGCCTGTGTTGACTTGTGACAAGCTTGTAACGGTAATATCATATTCATCTCAACGTCATAGTGAAACTCAAAACTTTTTTGCATTACAAACATTACATTACACTTAAAACAAAACTTTAAGTAACCAATTATGGGTCACAGTCGTAGAGCAGAGCAATAATGATTGTTTTATACATAAGATACTAGTACGAGGTAGTGGCGGTTAAGAATATTCAATACCCCATTTTTTCCCGTGGGTGTCGTAAGAGACGACAGAGAGAAACAGGCAGGAGACGAGCAGCAGCATCTTCCTGATAACAATAATAATAGATACAATAAAAAAATGCGGTTGCCAACCCGCCCGCCAAGCGTGGCAACTATGGTATTATACCCCCATGATGAGAGTTATCAAGAAACGGTCTTCAGTCCCCGGCGGCGGTTTAGGCAGGAGTTTAGTAGTCACCTAAGACGACTTGACCTGACAACATATAACACACGTATCCTGAGGACTGACGAGAAGATCCTGGAGCTGTAAGAGGAGATAGACAAGCTACGCTGCGATATTATTGGATTACCTGAGGTCCGAAGAGAGAGGGAGGGTACGGTAATCCTCGATTTCGACAACTTATTCTATCACCGGGAGGGTGATCATCTGTTCCAGGGAGGTGTTGGATTTATCGTCCAGAAGTCTCGTTAACAACGACGTAAAGATTGTGTGTCGACGAAGTTTAAAAGAAAACGGTGAGCTAAAAGTAAGGAAATTTGGAATAGGGCAACGGAACCCAAGGGGCCAGCAGCTGACCGACTGCGTGTAGAAAGATTTTACTTGTACTGTATTTTACTTTACTTTATGATGAACTCTTTCTTCTAGAAGCGGTCCCACAGGAAGTGAACGTCGTCGAGCCCCGACGTTTCGACAAAAAACGAGCTTGACTTCATTATGACGACTAGACGGCAACTATTCAGTGATTTCTCAGTGATCGCGAGGGTGAAACTGGCAGCGATCATCAAATGGTTAGAGGCACACTGAACCTAATCGTTAAGTTGTAGAGGTCTCGTCTAAGGAAGTCAATGATCCGCCCCCTCATGCTCTATTCCAAAGTACTGAAAATTTTCAACTTGAGTTACAAAACCGTTTTTAGTGCCTGAACAACTGCAATACAGAGGACGATATGAATGTAGGTAGATGTTCGGAGCTAAATTCTGTAAAACCCGTCGCAGAATAACACAAAATCTTTACGATGACACTCTTAATCTTTTTTTTGTTAGGCAGAAAATGAAGTCTTCAGCAGATTTGACAGCATAAAGGCGACTGAACAGACAGATCACCAAATGTATGAGGCGGGACTTTCACGACTTCAATACAGCTCGTATTGAAAAAGTGTTCGAACGGAACCAGGGCTCCAAAGTCTTTGCCAGAAAAAGCCAGAGTACGAAACCTGTCCAAAAGTAGAGAGGTGTAAGACAGGTTGACGTTATATTCCCGAAACTCTTCACCGCAGCATTGCAAGACGTTTTCTAGCTACTGGAACGGAAAAGATACGGTATTAACATCAATGACGAGTATATCACTCACCTTTGATATGGCGACAATATAGTCCTTATGGTAGAATCGCTGGAGGATCTAAGTACTATGGACAATGATCTCAATAGTGTTTCCCAAATTTTAAGTCTTAAGGTGAACATGGACGAAACAAAGATGTAACGTTCATGTCACACCTATGCCGGTAGTCGTAAGGAGCACTAAGCTCAAAGTTGTTGACGAGTATGTTTACCTGGGGCAGATAGTCTAGATAGGTCCGACTTCGACCGAGAGGTCGAATAGTTTTAACATTACAAGATCTTCAGTTAGAAACCATACGTCAACATAGTATGAATTCGCCCCAGCGGAAAAACATTTTTATCGCAAAAAGCGATACAAAATGCCTTAAAATATAAATGATCTGCCCTATAGATACCAAAAAGTATAGATAATTAAAAGACAGTTTTCACTTTTCTAATGTTTCAAATCTCCCTTTGTCCCTGGCGGTAGCAATCAATGCTATACTAATGATGTGAAGTCATATCCCAGAAATGTTTCACCATTGTACCGTTGTATTATAATTTAGAAGACGTGTTCAATGGCTGTGACAGTGACTCACCTTCAATTTGCTAGAGATACTACGTTTACGCGACTTTACGCGTACGTTTACAAAATGATGGTGAATTCAAGTATGAAAGTTCCTAACAAATTTCTTTAACACTAACATCAGCTCGACGATGATATTTTTTGCAAAGATTTAAAAATATCACACGAATTTTTAAAAAGAAATATGTTCTTGTACTAAAAATTTAATTAAATTTTTTTATGGCTTGGATTTAATTTATTTTGTGTATATCCCACTTAACTTCTATTTTTAAAGACTTACTTGTTTTAGTAATTAACACACCTGCTGGTAGTTAAAATATGATTTTCATTGCCATAATTAATTTTTAATGACATAAAAAGGAAAAAGAATTAAGCATTTAATTGGAGGGAAACTAAGTAATAGTTTACCTCCACTAGTATTTTCCCCAATATTGTAAAGGCAGTATAAAAATATAAAATTCTCAAGAACGGAAAACAACTTTAAGTAGGTTTGTAGGTCAATACATGAAAGAGATCCAAAATAAATCCAAAAAATATATTTCATTGCTCATTGAAATTTTAAAATAAGCGAGGTGCCTAAGGCTACAAGTATTTAGAGTGATTTTGAGCTCTGAGCTTACACGAAAACATAATTGTTCATGTAAATTATTATTATCGTAATTATAACCCCACTAAGTCTACTGCTAAACACGGTGTTTCCAAAGTAATTTCAAAACTCACGTAGAATTATTTATTATGAAAATTATGTTTTTAAACAAATCTTAAATTAACATTCGATCTATCCTATGGATATTCCATCCCTGAATGTTCCTGTTTATGTTTGATAATTGAAAATTATTTCTATTCAGGTGAAACAAAAGACGTTAACGCCCATATGGAACCAGGTCTTGAAAGTACATAAAATGCAATGCACGAACCAGAGCAGACTTAAAACCAGTCCACCCACAGCTTTGGTTGAAGTGAATCACAGTGATTTATCGGTAAATATTGTTCAATACTATCTGCAAAACCGATGAATACAGTCAACTTAAAGACAAAAGTCCCGTAACTACACTTAGCATAGTGCCTATGTAAGTAACTGAATTGTGCGAGTTAGTGGCGATCGGACCGGCACGGGCCGGCACTATTGTAACACGCGGTTGTATAATAAACCGCTGTTTCTTACAAGGACCTTTTTAATTTCTATCATACTACACTTAAATTAGTTAAAGTCCTTTCACACAAAGTGAATAATCTTATTAATATATTTAGATTATCAAATTGTAATTAAAATATTAATTGCTACAGATTAGCATGAAGGACATAATGCACAATAACTTATAGGTAGTCATTACTTACATAATAAAGCGCTAATAAAACTATAAACTACTTCACTACATCTATAAAATTGTTGTTGATTTTTTTTAATTGTTAAAATTAGTGTTTGGTATAATGAACATCAAATTACGCAGCTTAAAATTATAAATCACCATGATCTTACTTAGTGGCAGTTCATTTGGATTCCAACATAATATGACGACTTCACATAATATCTTCTACTGAATAACGCACGTGGTAGAGCCACGCTGATGTTGTATATTGGCTGCAGTATGTAGGTATGAATTGGTTCGACTATAAAAGTACTGAACCAGTGCAAAATGAAAAAAACATCAGTGTGATACTGCCATGTTTCGTGTAAGAAGTGATAAGCACCAAAATGTATTTTGAATTTTCATTCTAATCGGAGATTAATGATAGTGTTTATGGACCACAGTACACAAACAAAATTTTTGCGTTGTGTTGTCACACTACCCGTGTATTTCAATAGAATCTATACAATGTGATAATCTAAGTTTATAGGTTGTCAGTATACACCCCAAGTTTTCTATTATTTAGTAGAAAACTTCTACACTTACACCTTCTTATATTACTTTCGTCTAACAACAGTGACGGAATCTGTGTGTCCGAGAAATAAGAAAAAAAATATTACGACGACATGTGAAGTGTGCCAACGCGAATTGGAGCACCGCGGCGGACATATCCTTGCCCTAAAAGTCCCTCTCAGAAATGAGAGGCATGTGCCCAGCCGTGGGGCGTTTATAGGCTGTAACTTTAACTTTGGCAAATCTGTATAATTTTCATTGTAAAGCCATTTCGATTTATTATTTCCTTTTTATCTCAGTTCGGAAATAAAAGAACCAATTTATTGGTAACAATATTCAAATACAAATTTCGGAATGTTTTATCTACAATATGTTTCATACGGTATTGAACCTTGATTTTACAATAAAAACAAGTTTCCCTATTTTAACCTCAATATTCGTAAATTTGGGATGCATTATTCGCCCTTATAATTTTTGCCGGTGCTTTACCGACGTCTTTTTTTATTTGCCAAATATACAAATGTGTTTATTGTCAAAATTAGTAGATACCTAATTTATATATTTTACTTATTTTTGGTAGAGATACTCTTAAGATCTCATGTCATATTAACCAGATAAGTATACTTCAGAATCAGGTGCTGACAATTATACATTCTCTTCTCGTTTCATCAACTCTAAAAGAAACGCGATCTGCACTAAAGGACCCATTTGCGTTACTCATATTCGAGAACTTTTGTATCCATACAATCCATATCAAACAAAACCAAAAATTTACATCGCCGTTTTTAAAGTGCACTTGACGACTCCGTGGCGCAGTGGCTTAGCAATGAGTGGCTGCGCTGGGGGTCGCGGGTTCGAATCCCGCACGGAACAAGTATTTGTATGGCCTACAAGTAGTCGTTCCGGGTCTGGATGTTCGTCCTTGTGAAACTTATGTTTGTAAACTGCCCCCACAATACAAGAGAAAATCTTAGTGTAGGGGTAACGTTTAAAAAAAAGTGATTACTTATGCAGATGCAGTTTTTAATTATGCTGTCCGTTTAATCGAGGCAGGGTAAGACGGAATTGATCGGGCGCTTCGAGTTGACACCCATTGTTGACGACAGACAAGATTACGAATATGCGCCGAAACTGAAATGGTACGATATGATGAAAGGAGCCGAGACTACTGGCCAAGTTCTAATGTCTTTTCAAGTTCTACAGGTACGTACACATACGATGGCTGTCTCTATGTTACAAAAGTAAATTGAATTCGTGATCAATAATGTACATTTAGGGAAGGTCATGAAGCGAAATTCTACAGTGATAAAGTCCACTGCAAAATTTCGCATTATGGCCTCCCTTAAATTTACATTATTGATCACGAATTCAATTTAATTTTGTGATTATGATAATGAAACAAAAGTCATGTACATTGAAAAAACATAAAAAATATTGCGAAAACCTTTGTTACGATTTAAAACAATATGCTAGAGTAAATATAAGTAATGTCAGTAACGCGAGTCTTGTTATCATCACAATGTTGATTAACTTTCAACTAAGCTTTTTAGAAATGGAAAGTTTTTAAGCCTTTATTATGGTAATCCAAAGTTCGAAAGGATGACCCACGTTTGATTATCCCGCTAATCTCCCAAATTTTTACGACCTAAAAATTATATAAAAAGGAAAAAGTTATTACAAATACTTATTTTTAGTATTGTAATTTAAATAAATTTTATAGTTTTTTGTCATATTAACTCGACCTTTTTTTATTTAATTACCACAGAAGTATTAACGTACCTACAATTAAATATTGAACACAAGCTACCATTCATAATTTAATTTTAATAACATTCTTTTCAAGATAGTTGAATCGAATAGGTATTATTTCTACGTATTTTTTAGAAATAATACCTATTCACGGCAGAACCCACGCTGCAGCTATATTAACGTTCTAGCACGAATGAGTAGGCTCCTTTGAGAATTCAACCAATACATAAAGGTCGTCCCGACCTGAGTACCGCTCGACTACGCTCCCACGGAATACCAGTGTAAAATAACAGCTTAATACTGCTGTGTTTCGTACGTTGAGTGTAGAGAACTGGAGACCCATTTTACTGGAAACGAGGCATTCTATCTTAGTCCTGTGAGGTGACAACGCATCTGCATTGTGATTCTTAATCGAGGATAAATGTAGATGTCTATGGGCCACAGCATCCACTTACCATCAGGTGGACTGTGTGCTCGCTTGTCACCCTTATTCTTAAAAAAATTATATTGTCATAACCAACTAATTCTTAGATAATCTGGCGTTGATACGGCTATCAATCACTCAGTTGTTTCTGGATGGGTACCATTCTCCGCACCTATTTCTGTGAACCCGTTGCTATTATCTGGTTTAAATGGTTAGAACCAGTACAATTAGATATAGACTCAAGGTATCTCGGCTCTATGCACACTATCCCATCTGCCCAGTGTGCTGAGTATAAAAAACGTAATATACCTAGTTCTTGCTATATATACTCTTGAAAAGGTCTAGATGAACTTGAACAAAGCTTAATTTTATTTCATCAGCCCGTATAAGTTCACTGCTAGACCTGGGGTTTTGCCGTTGTAGTAAGAATTTATCTAATATATAATAATTTCACGCTAAGAAGCGGATTGACGATTGCGTTTTCGCGCCTTTGACGCAGCTCTCCGTTGCTGATTCAAACAAAATGGTTTTACCGTCTAGCGGAAGCCATAATATTTATTCCATGGTCACATAAGGTGTCTCAAAATAAAATCTGTCTTGTAGCAAAAACAGATTAGTTTGTTAGCTATCAACAGCGTATTAAAGCTTAAAGGTGCAAGAGGCCTGGCATTAGGATAATGAAAACTGTTAGCCGACTATTTAAAAAAAATCGTAATTTAAAAGAATTAAAAACCTACCTATTGCAATATTAGCCTTCGTTTTAGTAATAATATTTTGTTTTCTTTATTATAATTCTAAAATATTTCATTACACAAGAAGAATTAATAATTATAAATTAATAATTATTAAAAATAAACTTTAAAATAAAAACCACGTCTCATCGTCTTGGCTTAATGCGTCAGTTTTCTTATATATACGTTTTGTACTGTTAGAAATATTTACCATTTCTATTTTTTGAGAAAATAAATATTTGCAAAGTTTAAAACAGCGCCATCTCGTGAACGTATTAGTTTTTAGCTAGCTGCTCGTATAGGAATTAATGAAGTTTTGAATTTTTTAAGCCAAGATGTTACATTAATGTTAAGAATGTGCGATAGATGGTGCTTATAAATATTAATATACCTCCTAGGAATATTTATATGAATGTTGATTCATTTCGAATTTTTAAATTAGATACTTAATATTTTTATTTTTTTAGGTACCAGAGAAATTATTAAAGACTACAGTTTATAGTCCTATTGAAGAAACTTTTTATGAATCCGGTGTGAGGGACCTTGAGAGTCCAGAAGAGATTGAACCTTTGCCACCGCACCTTATTCCGAAATATAGCACATACAAGTAAAATACCATCAATATTTTAATAAGGCATACGAAACGTTTAATGGAGTGAAAACTTAGAATCCTATTTATATCTTTGTTCTAAACGTAAAGTAAAGTTACAGCTTATAGTTATACGTCCCACTGCTGAGAGGGTTTTAGTGCAAAGAACTTTTTGATGTAATCGAACTCAAGTAATTAGGTACTACTACTACGATAGTGTTTTTACCGCTATCTATCAGAAGCCACAAGATATTCCAAGCACTCCTTCAGGATTCCCTTATTTTCTCGATGATCTTCCTGCCACCATTTTGTAGGGTATGGTTTTACCATATTTTTAAATGGTAATTTCCCGCTTTTAGTCGGCCGACAGAGATGAGTCCGTCAATTATCAGTAAGAATGCTTTGTGAAGTAATTAATATTTTGATAAATAATTATGTATTCATATTTTTTCTTAGCCACATCAATGAAACTGAAAAGTGTCGAGTTAGGTTTGAAAATAACTACTTATGGTTGGTAGTTAATAAGTATAGTAGGTTGATACTCGTGTAAATTAAAGTACTTATTATGAGCTGTCAAAATAAACCTTTCTAAAGAAACTTTAATCGTCTTATTACAAAAAGTAGTTTACTGTTAGTCCCGGGATCAAATAGAGAAAAAATTTAAATATAATATTTAAAGTATGGAATATGACAGAAAATGTAAAATTTCCAACCACCACCAACCTATTTCTAATTTGTCTTGTGTTGTTAATTGTAAACATGATTGTAAGCTATTATTGAAAAAAATAGCCCCACTGGATTTCCTGCTGGTCCTTCTCAGGACTAAGGTTTTTTTTGCGATCCAGTGGTAAATGAAAAAAGTGACTTTCAATAAAAATTGTTATAATCTACAATGAATAAAAAAGTTTCTGTTTCTATGTATCTAAAATTATAAAATGAAATAAAAAAGTAAAAAAACAAAAACCCGACTGCAAAAAAGACAATTTAAAAGTAATACACTAAAAAGACCGATACAAGATTGAGTAAAGAAAACAAAATAAAAAATAAAAACCATAAACAAAGTAAACTCTACTCCGGTTTAACTGACTATATTATGAACTGAAAGCCTAAGTAAAATAGCCTAAGTTATATACTAAGTTTAGTAGCAGGCGGAACCCATTAATTTTCTTTCAGTTAATAATTTGTAATTGGGTCTCGCTTGTTCCTGAAATAAATTGTGTTTTTTATTACATTTTTCTTCAAAACTTCAAAGTATACAGTTTAAAATTTATTGAAAGTAATTTATATGTTTCATTTTAAATGTGATTGGGCGACGGATATTAATAACTATTCTTTTATTTTCATATAATAGCACGAGGTTCGGCACAAACATTGCACATTTTATAAACGAGTTATCAAAAACTTTATAAACAAATTTATTATTCCTATTTAAATTTAACCATACAACTTATATTCGATATTCGATATGTTTGGTAATTTTATTTTATTAACGTATTACTATTTTGCACCAAAAACTTGTTTATTAAAAAAAGCTATCTATGAACATACAACCTTAATTGTTGAAATCCATCCAGCCGTTTGGAAGATACGAGGTAATAATAAAGAAATTTACAAACATACAAGATCGTGCGAAAAACATAACCCTTCCTTGGCAGTCGGGTAAAAAGAAGCACATTGAAAATAAATTACCTAGATATTTAATAATTATAGTGGCAACATCCGACTATGCCTGCCGGGTATAGCAACCACGGTACTTTAAATTTTCTGATGAGTAGCTGTCGGCTACCGTCAGTATTTGCTGATAACAAATAGTAAAAGGAGTAAGAGTGATTAAGTTTTATACGTGCTAGAGCCATGCTGCAGTTGTACTACTAGTAGTAGTATAGTTGTAGCACGAATGGTTCGGCTCGACCGGGGGAGGACCACACTCTCACAGAATATCAGCGTATGCTGCCTTATGTCGTATGGTGAGTGTAGTGGTGTGATAACCTTTTTACTGGAAATGAGGCATTCTATCTTAGTCCTCACCGGTGAAAACGCATCTGCATTTTGATTCGTAATCGACGATAGATGTAGATGTCTATGGGCCACAGCAATCACTTACCATCAGGTGGACTGTGTGCTCGTTTGTGACCCTATCCTATAAAGAAAAGGAACGGTGCGGAACGTTCAATAAAAACAGAGAGCCGTGGTAGCTCAAGGTCTAACTATTCAGTGAAAATTACGCATTACCCTGATTTGAACTAAGCCGACGGCAATAATATTGTCATTTAAATATTTTATTGCTGATTAACCACACTCGGCATTAAAAGAAACTAGGGCGAGAAGATATGTATGTCTGAGGAAGGAAACATATCGAGTAAATGTGAATCCGACATAAGGCACTTGAGCAGCGAGGTGGACTAATTGCTCCATAATGCTTTCAGAAAATGGTAAGGAGCGTGCAAAGCAGTGGGACGTATTTGGGCTCCAAATTTATTTTACTTTTATTAAGAACAAGCGAACAGTTCATTAAATTGTTCATCATTATATTTATTATTTATAATATACTTGCAGAGTTGATATATATTGGTGGGGACTGCGAGATGTGAGTGTAACTAGAAAACCGTGCGTGGTCCTCGAAATAGAAGACCTTGCGTTGAAGTCTGATATAATAACGGACAAGAAAAACAATTGCAACTTCCCCAACGGTCGTATTTCACAAACTTTTGAAGCATCACTCGACGAAGTTCACTATCCGCCCCTAAATATCAGACTTTATGACAGCAGCACTTTCGGTAGAACTCTTTTCTTTGGCACTTACGTCGTTAAAAACCCTATGAAATATTTTATCCAATGGTTGCCTAAGGATGAACGAGAAGCTTCGCTAAAACGAGCTTCGATAATGTCTTCCAGTTTTATTGAAGGTAAATATTAAATCAAATTCTTATTTACTGCATATTACAATCAACGAAATCATTATCATAATCATAATGTGAATAAAATCAGTCAATGAATTAGAGTTCTTTGTTTATTATACAATCTTTCTTCTTGTTCTTTATATACTGAAAGAATTCCTCTGTGTTACAATACAGCGTGTGCTTAGTGCTGACCTGATACTTAGTACAAAGGTTAATAGTCCTCTAAAACATAAAATAGTTGTTTATAAAATCTTTCTTAATCATCCGTTATTTTTCTACAATTACCATCAGTGACGACATCGATTAAGATTGTCTTCCTAGCTTTTCCTTGAACTATGTAGCGCCTTAGTTTTATTTTGTGATTTTATTATACAGGTTTAGTCTTTGGTTCCTTACGATATAATAATATCCTGAACCTGCCTTTTTTGAATTTTTCAAAACGTGCTTACTCGTACAACACGTTGTTATGCAGAGTTCTATTATCCTAATCAGGTAATTAATCGTGTGGCTTCATAGTAAATATCAATTAACTTTAAATCTGGACTAATACGCTTCAGTAAATAACTGACTGAATATATAATACATTACAATCAGAATTAGGCAGGTGTTAAAATTGAAATTTATTATTTTACAGTGGGTCAGTCCCTATTTGTTAAAAGAAGTAGCCCTTTAACTAAAGAAAGTTCAGAGTCTCTTATGAACGCAGTTATGGAAGGCAAACATCAAGTGAAACCTAGAAAATGGCGAAGACTATTTAGTAAGAAGGAACCTAACGAAGAAGAGTATACATTACTACCAATGCTTACAAATAAGGAAAAAAAAGAAGTTGTCAAGGAAGCAACACCATGTGAGCATAAGGACTGGTGGATGAGATACTTATATTCTCAAAAGGTCGCTTAAGTATTGTGATTATCAAGTAACTTTTTATTATAACAGATAACGGTATGCTAATTATAACAACTTGATTTTAGGAATGCTTTGGAGAAGATAATGTCAATGCGGAAGATAAAATTTCGGTACGTGTCTTAACGGTATCTAATGTGTTATAAATAGGATTGCTTTAGTTTGTTTATTTAACATCAAAGCAAATATGTACAATAAATGCATAAAGCCTAATGCTAATATTAATAATATCTGATATCAGTAACAGTTGCAGTAACAAATTAACTTTCCGTAGCAATTTTTAGATAATAATGTTACCATATCTTATATTGTTTACTACTCCTAAATATACATAGTATGTTATTATAATCATTAAATTATTATTTCAAAATAATTTAGATTTACGATTCTGAATTGGAGCTACAACCAGAGTTTTCAAAATTCAAAGACTGGTGTTCTACACTAAAGCTATACAATGGGAATAAAACTGGCATACCAGAAAAAGACGAACAACTTTATTGTGGATTTTTGAAAGCTGGTATTGCTTTATATAAGTGGCCTCCGCCAGCTACAACCGTCCCTGTTAGTTCCAATGGTGTTGAACTAAATTGTGGGTAAGTAAAACACACACACATAGGTGTGTGTGTGTGTGTGTGTGTGTGTGTGTGTGTGTGTGTGTGTGTGTGTGTGTGTGTGTGTGAGTGTGTGTGTGTGAGTGCGTGTGTGTGTGTGTGTGTGTGTGTGTGTGTGTGTGTGTGTGTGTGTGTGTGTGTGTGTGTGTGTGCGTGCGTGCGCGCGCGCATGTGTGTGTGTCATGTTAATAAAACAAATTTATTTCATGTTTGGTATATTTTCAGATATTTTAACGACCACCCGAATAACGAACCTACAAAATTTCTGGTACGAGTTTATGTGGTAAAGGCTTTCAATTTAACGTCAAAGGATTTTACGGGAAAAACTAATCCATATATTGTACTCAATTGTGGTAATAAACGTCTGGGAGATCGAGACAGCTGCATAAGGAAAACTCTCAGTCCTATTTTCGGAAAGTAAGTACACCATTACAGTAAATAAGACATCTTCTCGTCAGGTGTACACTCTTGAAACTTGAAAATGAGATTCCACAACCAGGCGTGCTGCTAGTGATGACTTATGAATCTGAGATGTGGTCCTTCGCTGCTTGCTGTATAAGGAAGCTCGAGGTCGCTCAGCGAGATATGGAGTAGACTATGCTCAGTGTTTTTCTGCGTGATAAACTTAGAAATAATAAAAAAAATAGTAAGCTGACAGGCTGAAGTGTCAATGGGCCGGCTATATAGCTATCGAAGAACCGAAAACCGATGATGAAAAAAGATTTTCAAGTGACAGCCTCGTATCGGTCGGTGTAGGCCGAACCCCCCCTCCCCGCTCCAGATGAAGTGACGATCAGTGACATGCAGGATGTCGATGGATGCAGGTAGCTCAGGACCGTGCTTTCCTTGGGGGAGACCTGTGTTCAGTTTTGACTTTGAAGGACTATAATGATGACGATGATGAAGATCATGAAATGCAGTAGTATTGTTATAAATGATAAGGGTCTCTATTCAAGGAGTTAGAGCTTTAGTTGACTGATTGAGATTAATTCTTATTTTTCTTCTTCAGTGGCTTGTAAAAGTTTATTGTTAGACTTGGGCCTCCCCTGCGGTTATAGCCTTAAGCCTTAATTGTTACGTTTACCACGTGGATAATTGTTACCAGAGGTGAGCACGTTAGCCCGTCGTCGATCCCAGATCGACATTTTATGTCTGACAAACGAAATATTATAACACCATCTATCAGAAGCTACGAAATGTTTGTGACATTTCCCATAACCGCCTCTCTAAACTCCCAGTACGAAATAAGGTTGATTCACTGACATCGCTTACAAACGGCAATTATACTATATTATGATATAAATTCTATTTATTTCATTCTTTTGACGACTTGCAAAAAGTACCTGAGATTTATTACTTTATTTATCTGTATTTAGTCCATATACATTATGACAGACTATTGATGGGAAGCTGCATTACCAATGCGAAGATATTGGATCTCACTTCCAAACATCTACCCTTAATACCTGCCTGCGCAGCGTCTTTTTATCACTGCTCCATAAGCTACAATCGTAAAACTCCATCAAAGAACAAAATTGGTTTCAGAATGTATGAATTTAGTTGCAGTCTTCCCGAAGACTATCTTTTATCTGTGTCTGTTTACGACTGCGATAATGAACTGGAGGACGAGTTAATAGGCTCTACCAACGTTGACTTAGAAGATCGGATTTATTCCAAGCACAGGGGACGTGTTGGACTTTCAGTTGAATATAATATGTACGTAGAGTAAGTCGATAAAAATATTTTAAAAACATCGTTGAAGCAATTTACAACCGCTTTTAACAGACAAAAGAACTTTAATACTTACTTAAAAAGTGTAGAAGTGTTAAGAATCAGATTCGCAACTAAACAGCAAGTACGACTTTACAATTACGAATTACTACAAATCAACTATAATTAAACTAAGCATACATATTGTAAAGATCTCCATATTGGAAGAAGAGTTAATATTGTAGATGGCAATGAGGACACAATATTTCTGCATCGATTATGCTACCGACGACATTGTAGTTTCGTAGGACATTATAGGAGCTAGCAATTATCAAAATGTCCGTGGTATTTAGCTGAATATCAACAAATAGATGTAATTTTTTTCTTATTTAATTTTAATCAATAGATGAATTAATTGTGAAAATCTCAGAGTAATATATAATTATACTCTAAGCAGCAAACCATTTTTAACACTAGTGGTCACCTAGTGGTGTTTGAAATTTGACACCACTAGGTGACCACAAGTGTTTTTGTGGTAGAGGCATGCTGCAGTTATATTAGTAGTATAGTTGTAGCACGAATGGATCGGCTCGACCGGGGAAGGACCACGCTCTCACAGAATACCAGCGTCAAATAGTAGCTTAATGCTGCTGTGTTTCGTATGGTGAGTGTAGAGAACCGGAGAACCTTTATACTGGAAACGAGGCATTCCATCTTAGTCCTCACGGGTGACAACGCATCTGCATTTTGATTCGTAATCGACGATAGATGTAGATGTCTATGGGCCACAGCAACCACTTACCATCAGGTGGACTGTGTGCTCGTTTGTCACCCTATCCTATAAAAAAACAATTACTTACCGTCATATTTTTTTTAAATATATTTGAATGTCTACATACAAACTAGCTTTCTTCACTCTTTCCCCATATTAACTATGCCAACTCTTACACTCTTCCTATTAAGTCTACTTTAACTCTTCTTTAAGTTTAAAAAGGGGTATAAAGTTTCCTCTTTACACAATACATAATATACTGGTTAAAAGAGGCTCACTTGATGGTAACTGACTATCGCTGCACCTGAGCAATTGCAATTTTGCACCAGCATCATAATTGCAGATGCGTTGCCGGCCTTTATTAAATTGCAATCTCGCAAAATATTTGCTACGGTTATGGGTAATAATACAAAGTCAAAAAAATATAGCTTATGTATGAATATGTCCCACTGCTGTGCCAAGGAAGCTTTCTGGGAACTTTATGGAGAAATTAGTCCACTGCATTGTACCAGTGCGTGTTGGCAGACCATGATTTCAAAATACTGTAATTTTTGAAACATGCGGGCTACGTCAATATGACACGTGGTAAATTAGCATTTTAAGTCACAATAATAAAACTTAACTTACCGTAATAAAACTTTTGACATCGGTGAGGCAACAAGTTAGGTTTCGTATAGTGAGATGGCAAACCTTTGGGAAAATTAAAGAAATAAATTTTTGATTTTTCGATCCCTGATAAATGACATCCGTGACAATGTAAACCTCTTAAATTAAACAGAGTTGGGCCCAGCAAGTGGCGCGACTGCATCAAACCTTCTGCCATTCTTGAAGATCTATGCCAGAAGAACCACATCCCTGCACCCATTTATCCCGATACAGCAACTGTTCTTGTAAATGGTGTAGAATATAGAGACAACGAACGAGGTAGGTAATGTTAATTCGCTGTTACAATATATATATATTTTTTTATATAACGCGTCCTCCACCATAGCGTTTGTTAATGTATTACCAGTCTCAGAATATCGTTTGATAGTGCGATGTACAAATTTCTCATTTAGTTTAAGATTTGGCAGCGCTCGACGAATTTCGATGTTCGTTTTTCCTTCCAAATACAGAGCAATCATGAATAAATCCATCGTTTTATATTAAGAATGTTTTATCTCACAACAAATTCACATCAAACCATATAAAAAATATGTCAAAGAACAACATTTTAAATTTTGGCGGTGTTCGATTCAGTGGTTCGAATTTTAAAACAGATCGAGACGGACAGCCGGCGTTCAATTGCCGCACCTGGTATATATATATATATATATATATATATATATATATATATATATATATATATCGAATTTGAACGAAAATATAGTATTTGAAACGAAGAGATATATCTCGCTTTGTCAAGATAGATTTGTTTTTAATTCATTTTTTTAATCAAAACTTCAATAAAAAAGTTACAAAATACGTTACAGATAAAGTTTATGGTTCACCAGTGGAACGTAGAGAAAACATTTGTTTAACGCTTTTGCGCAATTGGCACACACTGCCGGTATGTGGATATCATTTGGTTCCGGAACATGTTGAAACTAGGACTCTATATAATCCTGCAAAACCTGGAGTCGAAACGGTAAATGTCAGGAGAAACATATAAAAACATTGCTACATTGTAAGAAGCACACATCATAGAGTAAGACGAAGGCGAATAACGTATAATATTAATTGCCTAAAATATATAACTATATATATTTAGTTAATGTCGCTCTCTTATTTTGCTATTTTATTATTAATGTTAAATCAGATCAATATGAAATGGTTTAAGAATCAAATTGAAAGTAGGAACGGAAACTGAACTGCAACAAAGGAATCATTACCGGAGGGTTCATCAGATTTCTATAGTATTTTGACGGGAACTTATTTTAATAGAAGAATATCATTTTTAGGGTAAAATACATATGTGGGTGGACATATTTCCACTGGATCCCGGTTTGTTTATTCCATGCCCTATTGATATAACTCCACGAAAAATCGAAGATTTTGAACTGAGGGTCACTGTGCTCAATGTAAATGGATTAAAGTTTAAGGAAGAACAGTCTGAAAAAAAGGCATCTGAAATTTACGTCAGAGCGTAAGTAGTTATTACTTAAAATACAAGTGAGACCTTTGACTTGGTCTCATTTGTAACTTGAAATTCTTGAATATTACTTGAGCATTTGTTAAATATTATCTAAAATCTGTCTGTGCAAAAGTCGAAAAATTTTGCAAGCCTTTAATAGCGTTTGTCATTTATAATATTTGAATACAAATATATTGTGACTTTAAAACATTACAAAGAAAATACTCTCAATGACTATCTTCTAAGATGATAGAAATTCTTCTTTGTATTTTTGCCGAGCTTCCCATGTATTCTCGGAGTATGATGTTTCTTAATAAAAACAGCAAATACTTATATTAATTGAATTAATACATGTTGCTACACGTTTTTTAAACATGTTTCAAGCTAGCTAATATTTACTTTTTTATTTACTTAGTTGGATCGGTTCTGTCGATCAGGTTCAGCGAACAGATGTCCATTTTAATTACCCAGGCGGAGTGTGCAATTTCAACTGGCGCATGGTATTCAACTTTCAATACCAGCACGCTGAAGGAAAGGTAAAAAGAAGATAATAATTAAGTGTTTCGTTTTATATGTATAAAATATTAAAGGATATTTATGATGATGTCCAGTTAGTAACCAAGGAAAAAGGACCATTTACAGAAATCGAAGAGCGCATACCTCCAGTTCTTATAGTTCAAGTATTAGATGGAGATGCGACCTGTTCAGACGATTTTATGGGCAACGAACTGGGTATGTTTTCTTATCTTTCACAATGTATTATACCAATTGTCCTAGCCATAATACTGACTAAAGTATTATATTTATATAAGCCACTACACAGTAGTCTACGCAATTAAGTGGAGAAACTAATTTTTGTCCAAGGGACGGCTATGATCTGAGATATCCGGAACTTTGATTATCATCACTCTGATCTAACCGCCAAACATCAGGCTTGAACGTTGTTTCATGTGTCCGATCATGTTTTTCTTAAAAATGCAAACCGGTTACTGAAAACATGGTATCTAAGACTGGTGTCAGTATTCATCTGGGGTTATGTTTTTGCAAAAGTCACTGACGAACATTGGCGGGCAGGCTGTTGCGACAACAATTTAACAAAACATGTTTAATAAACAAGTTAGCAACACATTGCACTCAGCTGCAGTTTTAGAATCAATGAATAGTGTTTGATAATATAAATAACCGTTACTTTGTGGAGATTCATCACATTAGCTAATTAGTATACACATCTTTTAGTGTTAGATAGATTTCATTTTAGCAAAAATGAATCCACATAAGGAAAATATAGGAACTTAATGTTTTTCAACTTGATTTTTATACAACAAAAAGAAAACAGATATTGCGTTAGACGGCAATAAAGTTCAGGTTTAATATTGTAGTCAACATTTATATTACAAAAACTGCAGAAAATATAGAATTCTCTATTTCGAATGCATCTCTGTATTGTCTTACATTCGTGTCTGTAAGGCCACGTAGGTTATTCTGCCTGATATATAGCATTATTCGGCCTCAGCATAGGGCACCGGCGTAATGAAATTCCTTAAGGTAAAAAAAGTTCGAAGAAAGGTCGCTCAGCCTACCCACACACACATTCTTCAACATTAACCGACACGACCGGGCAATAGGAATAAACTGTGTGGTTATGTAGATTGGCGTAATAATCATAAGAAGATACTAGTTGGATATGTATAAATATGTACGTGGTAGAGCCATGCTGCAGCTATATCAGTAATATAGCTGTAGCACAAATGGGTCGGTTCGACCAGGGAAGGACCACGCTCTCACAGAATTCCAGTCTAAAATAGCAGCTTAACGCTGCTGTGTTTCTTATGGTAGTAAGTGTTCTCTACACTCGATCGGAGACCCTATTTACTACGACGATGCATTCCATCTAAGTCCTCACGGGTGACAACGCATCTGGTTTTGATTAAAATTAAAAAGATGTAGATGTTTATGGGCCACAGCAACCACTTAGTACCTATCAGGTGGACTCTGTGCTCGTTTTTCGACCTTATCCTATGAAAAAATGTAACCTACGTTATCTGTGACCTCAAGACGTCCAACACCTCATTCCCTACCTGACCACGAGTTCTGTAAAGCACTCACGACGACGGGGATTAAAAAGTTAAAATGAACGCAATAAAATCCATAAAATTGGTTGCATTTAATTTGTAGTATTCGAGTAAATTTAAAAAATCATTATGCAATTGTTTGTGTTTCAGGTTCTCTACATCTGAACTTGAACTCAATGCCGCGTGGTGTAAACCTTGCGCAGTTATGTACTCTCAATACAATTGAGAAAACGAAAAAAATTAGTATGTTCGCCGTGAGGTCTGTGCGGGCGTGGTGGCCTTTGAAATTAATCGATAGGAACAACGGAAGCGATATACCTGCTGTTAGTTGTTTTGATTTAATGATTTTTGAAGATCGTACCAGGGGTTTCGCAACTTTGACACTAAATCTCACTCGCTGGGCAAAGTTTTTTTTGTTTTTGAATGTTTTTTGTTGCTTTATTAATATTTTAAAATCACCTCAGTATACAATTTTCTTGCCGTCATTTTTTTAGCCGCAAGTTGTACAGTAATAACTCTGTAACAATTATCATGCCAAGCTACGGCAGATTTGATATGGTACGTTTATTTTTGTTTGAGAACGCGTTTTAATTATCAAAACATTCTACTCAAATCAATTTACTATTGCAGAAACGCTCAGAAAATTGCATCCAATTTTCGGTAGAAGTCTTCTTCTACCGAAAATTGGTCTCCCATTCTGCCCCACTAAGCTTGTAAGGCCTAGAAATTTTTTCTTGCTGGCTACAGACGTGCCCTACACTTCACGGCTCGTCCAAGGTTAGAGCGTTGTGTTTCAAGGTGTTAGTGAGGCTAAAGGAGCCTCTTCCAAACCTACAATACAATATAATACAATACAATACAATACAATACAATACAATACACTTTATTGAACACTAAGAAAACAACATAACAAGAAACAAACAAAGAGAAAAACAAAAGGCGGTCTTATTGCTATGCAGCAATTTCGTCCAGACAACCTAAATAGCAAATAAAAATAAGTGAAGAATTAATCAATGGGTAGAGTGCCATAACAATTTTATATAAACTATAACCTGTCGTTGACAATTAACATTATAACTAGGAAGAATCCGGAAATACAACAAAAACCTTTTCAAATTTAAAATTTGGTTGGAAATTTTAAGAATTTTAAACTATAATTTTCAAACGTCAAATAATAATATAAAAATATAAAAAATACAGCATAATATTTTAACAATATGCGTTCTTACTTCCTTGATCAATATTTAAAAATATTTTAAAAAAAGTTAGGAGTCACGAAAATGTTTAATGTTTTGTCAGATACTATTACACTTAGGAAACGCATAAGATACGTGAAGTTGAAGCGATGACTAACTTCCGACAAAACAAGCATACAGTACAGGTGCATCCGACAAGAAACCGGGACGGGTCGTCAAATTGTTCTCTATTCATTCCATAACTATAGGAACCAGTTGTTATTTACCTGCGACAACTTCTTATAAATTGGTTTATGACCGACTAGATCAGCAAAATACCCTTATGTGCGCCGGACAGAAAAACAAATTAGGTACCTAATTATAGTTTCAAGTTTTTATTTCCAAATTCCTAATATCTGAAATATTTGGCCTTTAGAGGAATGTGTTTTTGGTAACACAAAAAGGGAAAAGTTCTTGTTATATTTCGTTTCCAGTAAAAATAATCGTTTAAAAAACAGTTAAAAAGCCTCTGAAAAACAATTTGCACTTTGCATTTTGTATCGAAATATCAAAACTAAAAACTCATATCGTATCATATGGTTAATAAACTCTGTAAAAACAAACAGGTTCCTAGGCGTTTGTTTTGAGGGTTTTGAGGACCAAGTATTGTTTGGTGAATATATTATATTTCGACCGGGACTTCAAATACAATGTATATGTGAACATAATTTACTATTAGTGAACGTTGTCCTTTTGCAATTACACACAAATACAGATTTAGGGGAATTTATTCAACTTGACGGCAAAAATGAATTTTGATTATCACCAATGCTAACATTAAAAATATATGGGTACATTTTATTCCGGTGTTTGTTTCTAACAGACTTTTAGTGCGTTTATTAGCTCAAGATTATTGAAAACTATTGACAATGATATAGTTCTGTTTGAGGCTTCTTTTCCTTTATTTACTTCCTTTAATTACTGTTCGATGAGGCACGGGACTCATGTATGTGTTGGCAAAATAACAATATTGGCTTCAGGGAGTGGCTTACGTGTGATATTATTTTAATTAAAACAAATTAATTGCATAATCTTTGTGGTATGGGATGACATGAGGTTGAATTACGCGTTCGATATAACCGGCGTCGGTTACATTAACTTCATCTAAAATTATCTAACATCTCACAGTTCTAGTTTTAACTGGCAAGCTTATTCTACCCGATACAATAAAATTTGTGCCCCAAAAACGTCTGTTCCTTAGATGCGTGGTTCTGAAAAATGTTGTTCTTCTTTTTTGCTACACGGGTAGCCGTCTGTCGTCACTAAAACAAACTTCACCTTACATTCGTTTGAGGGTACGATCCTCCAGTTTTCCTTAGACCAGTGCATGACTCGCGAGCGTGCTGATCAATGTACTCGTTTTAGTTTTAACCGAACAACACGTATTCGTGAAATTTAACACTTTTCGTAGAGTGGTTTCCGAATTTTTTGATTACGGTCTTTTCTACGAGTAGAACGTCGTAGTCGAGTTGGTAAGACGCACGCAATTGTGGTACGTTTACAGCATATAACCAGATGTACCGATCTTCATGGGTAGTTGCGGCTCTCAATATTCCTAATTCAGATCTCTTAGCAAGACTTCCGATCTCCTGGTAGTGTTTCCAAACATTTCGGATAGCTCATCGTCACACACCGAGATCTATTGCAAGTGCAACAGACCTCTGAGGCCGTCCCTTCTGAAGAATAGCAACCGCTTTTCTTGCAGCTTCTTATATGATGCCGAGACATATTATAGTAAAATGGGTTATACTGAATGCATCACACATCTTCATACCTTAACACTAATAAACTAGGGGAATACTTATTATTTTATTCATTCGCAATAAAGCTTGAAAAACCATAGTGTATCCCAACGTCGAAGTTTTGTGGTTGATGTACATTGAGCATCGATGTTTAGCTTTTGATATAAAGATTAGATTAAGTGATTAAGAGATTTTATAATATGTATTAGTTAAAAACTTAAGTAAAATTTAAACAAACGTGTATGTGATTTTTAGGGAGCAATTGAATTGGATTTGTCACTATTGCCTAAAGAAACTGCAATTTTAATGCCATGTTGTGTTGGAAGAGAATCGCCATACTCTATAATTCCACCGTCGTAAGTTTTTATTTTTTGTCATTAAAAAGTTGAATACTGGTGACTCAGGTCTGGCAGTCTGTGAGTACGGCCTGTGTTCAACAATGGACTTGTAATGGGCTGAAATAAAGTTAGTGATGGGATGTAAATACGTAACTTATTTAATACGCAAATAGTCCTCTTCAGAAGCCTGTAAAGCGTCGCCGCTGGTGGAGGGATCCTCCTATTGTGTGAAATATTTATTATCTTAAATTAATACTCGATTTATTCGATCAGATTTAGAAGTAGAAATGGAATACAAGGTTTTACCAGATATTGAATTTTCGCAGGAAATAGAATTAATTTCTTATATTTACTATTTACTTTTTTTATAGAATAAGGGTGACAAACGAGCACACAGTCCGCCTGACGGTAATTGGAAACTGTGGCCCATAGTTCGCTAGATATAGCGAATGCTGCCCCACAATAAGATGAGGTCTAGAATGTCATTAAAAAACTTTTCAACCTCGTAACTTTCAGTTTCCCGAGCTATGTGCTTTTAGAGAGCATCTCTGCTTAGCTTAGGACGTTGCGTGATTGCATTTTTTTGCTGCAGCTGCGAATCCTCGTGATCTTACTCACCATCAAACCGTGGGAGGTAGGGGGCTGATATGTTCGGTTTCGTTATGAATAAGGCTCAAATTAGAAACGTCCTATTTTTGAGAATCTTAGACCTTTAGTTATTCACACCTTGGGTCTGTTATTGGTTTTCGTTCCGTACACTAAGCTTTTGTAATATTAACTTTATAATATGCTTTTTTTAAATTAAATGAATAGAATTGTGTTAAGCACATGGCGTTTTACCATCACTACTTACCATCAGGTGGGATAGTAGTCAAGTGCTGGCATAGAATGGTTAAAAAAATGAAAAATTAACGCAATGACACCTACAGACTTTCGTTCGCAAATATAGGTCAGAGGAACCTCGGCTCAACTAAAAATGTTTAAAGAAAATGATATATAATATGTTATATCATACAAAAATTATTTTATTTACAATGATGAAATAAGTATATTTCATTTCAAGTCAAAATCGAACATTATTACATTTAATACCTTCTGTCTGTATCCAGATGTGAAGCAAAAAAACAAGCAATTGCGAGTACGTTAAAGGGTAAACCTCCCTGCAGCAGATACAAATATGTGGCATGTTGCATTTGCGCGTTTATAATACTCGGAACTGCGTTCGCCGCTTTTTTAAATATTCCTGAGCTACTTTATGATAAAATTACAGATTAGTCAAAAGGTACGTGATTTCTTTTATAATTAGAATGTCGAAGAAATAAGAAGTAAAGACTAAAACTTTCAAGGGTTTTATCGTGTTTCTTATTGTTTAAAGAGCGTGATGTCGCAGAATAAATAATAGTACGTGATGGCTGTATCTGTGATCGCCAATTCACCTGTCAAGCATGGCGATAAATGGAAATCCTTCCAACCCCAAACGAATCCAATTCAAAGGGAGAGAAAGGCATACGACTAGCAGTGGAACTTATTAACTTTCATAGGCTCGTCATATTTACAGTACATAATTATGTTGAAACAGTTAAAAAACCTATATAAATCTTAATATATATAAATTACGTGTCACGTTGTTTGTCCGCGATGGACTCCTAAACTACTCAACCGATTTTAATAAAATTTTCACACCGTGTGCAGTTTGGTCCAACTTGAGAGATAGGATATTTTTTTGCCCATGATACCCACAATATTTTTTTGCGAATTTAAGGATTTTTAATAGGACATCACAAAGGGTCGTCGAAAAGGGCAGAACAACGTCTGCCTGGCAAGCTAGTATATTATATAATATATAAAGACTGTCAACTTACCTATGGTTTGCACTTGCGCGAAGGTCGTAGGCATAATACAATAAACTTATAGTAGGCAGAGAGTAAGGAGTAAGGACTTCTTTACTCATGTGCAGCAGGGAGGTGGTGCGCGTATAGTACCGACGAATTGTAATATATCATTCGTTTTAATGAATGTATTGTCATTCGTAGAAACAGAATCAGAGACTTTTTATTCAATAGGTACTTAAGAAAGGCACTTTTATTTTTACCACTGGTACGGAAAAAATCCTCTGTCCTGGGAAGAACCAGCAATATACCCAGCGGGACAATTTTTTTAAATAACAGTTTTCAATCATGTTAGTATGTTACAATTAACAACACAAAACAAATTAGAAATAGATTGGTAGCGATCACCCTTCCCAGGGGTTATTATCATCCATAAATTCCTTTATATTATAATAACCCTTTTCATACAAACTTAGCCTATTAAAGTTTTGAACATTGTGCAGGTAATTAAACAATATAACTTTTCCGAGATCTCATCTCAAATGCAATGAACATCTCTAAGACTTATATAGCAAATACGTTAAGCAATATTCACCACAAACTAAAGTCCACTCATTCTGAATCCTATCAAAATTCCAGTCCCACTACTAACCTTTATACAGGGCAAATCCTGTTTAATTTTTGCTTCGTTGATAACTGCGTAAACTAATCACTAACTGCCATCTAACAATTCTGAATAAAACCTTTTAGACAAAATGAAACCGAAGAGCACACTTCAAGACAACTTAAAATCTTGCCCAGAGATGGCGCTAAATAAATTTTATTTTATGGCACTAGATGGCGTATATAGACCTTTTGTGCACGAGTAATGACAAAGAGTTTCATAAACGTAATTTTTTTGTTTTCTTGATTAACAGACTTATTATAAAGTACATTTTAGTATGATATTTCGTATTTATGTTTACAGATATGTTTTTCGATTTTTCAGTCGAACATGGGGATGATATATCAAAGATGGAGAAAATAATTTTTACATTTTTTATTTAGTACCTACCTATTGTGTACGATAGATATTTAAGAATTTTATTTTGTGTTTTAGATGTGTATGTTAATAGTATTATATATTATTATATACGTTTTACTTGATGGCGTTATGTACTCTGTAATAATAATTTTTTTATAATAAATTGACATATTAATAAATAATATTTGTTTTATTTGTTATACCCAGGTGAAATATAACCATTTTATAGACCAGGAAAAATAATAAACCATAGGACGCAGTAGTGGTGTGGCGACTCTAGGGCGGTACGAGCGGTGCCACCGCACCGGGCGCCGTCTTAGGAGGGGGGGGAGGGGAATCAACCGAAACGCTACCAACGAGCACAGGTCACCAATTCATTCAATCTTATCACTAACATTCCGTTTTGTTGACGATAATTAGGAAGTCAAAGCATGAGTATTTTGTTGCTTACAAGCAGTAAGTGACTTCGGAAAAACGACTTACTGGCCCTCTTTATTGATGCAATTGTACAAGTTTTTGACATAGACATGAATGATTGTCGAGGTAAAGGGTACAATAATTTTGCGAACATGGCATAAAAACTAAGTGTTCAAACCGTAATTTAGATCAATATTCTCGGGCATTTTTCAATCCATGTGGTTGAAGTTATTAGAACTTGATTTGCTCATATTTGCGTAATAAAATAAAATGATGTGTCCTGCCCAGTCTGAAGAGCACCACCCAACCCCTCTCAATTGCATACACTATCCCCGTAGCCACCACTCCCAGTACTACCACACCCAACACCACCAAACTAGGATCGTCACATCACTCTCGATAATACGATACGTGTTTCGCCTCTACACGATGCATCCACAGGTAATGTAGTCTCTGCGGTGGCTAAAGTCTAAGTGAGCGGCAAGCCGAAACAGTTGCTATTTATACAACTCGCTGATCAACGAGTTGTATAAATAGCAGCGTATAGAGAGCGGAGAGAGTGCTAGCAGTGGTGGTGATAGGATTAGTTGTGACGAAGATAGTGTCACCCTCCGCAGAGTTCTACTTCATCTGAAGATGCCTCGTGTAGAGGCGAAACACATGTCGTAAATAACAAGGGTGGTGTGTCGTTCCTAGTGTGGTTGTGAAGTGAGGGGTGTCGCTGTTAGTGGTGGTACTGAGAGATGAGAGTGGTGGTGCTGAAAGTGGTGATGAGGTCTATTGTTAACTAAGGGTTGGTGGTAGGTGGGTGCTTTTCAGACTGGGCAGAACATATCATTGTATTTTATCAAGGCGGAAAAGAACAAATTAAGTTCTAACAACTTCAATATAATATATTTCCGCAGTAATGCTTGATTATTTAAATTATCGAAAAATTTAAGTATTTGGGCGTAACTATCGACCAAAAACTAACGTGGAACTCTTACCTTAGCAACGAATGTCATACGGCTAAAATTGTTTTAGGTACGTGCAGTCGTATATCTGGGAACATTGGACCTTGCGTCCCAGTATGATCCTACGGCTGTACAACACCATGTGAGGCCGATTATCAGTTACACCTCCATTGTGTGGTGTAATAAGGACAGCCAAAAGACGAAAAGACTGAGGACAAGACAACACGGGTTTCAGATATCATGCATCCACTGTACACTATTAATAAAAGGTGGAATATTGGAACTATCCTCCAGAGAAGACTGGCTGAATGGACAGGTTATCTGTGAGGTGTAGCCTTATATGCTACATCGATAGGTCAAAAATGGGCCTCGACGCAGGCTTTAGAATTTATGGCGAATGTCCCAAATACAGACTTAGTATGAATAAGGGTAGATTCACCTCTAACTTCCAGACAGAACTTTTCGTCATACTTCAGTGTGCGGAAATCAATCTGCAAAAACACTACGTCAATCATATAATCTATACAAACTCTGATAGTCAAGCAGCACTACTAGCGCTGAGATCAAGCTTAGTGAACTCGAAGCTAGTTGGAGACTGTGTGAACCGTCTAAACGCCTTGGGATGTTACAGCAGGGTCGTTTTAAGATGGGTTCGATACCGTACGGGTATTGTAGACAATGAACTTGCCGATGAGCTCGCACGGGAGGGCATAAAGAGCACACAATTTGGAACCGAGCCAGTTTGTGAAATCTCAAAAAGCCTAGCCCGATTGACCCTTGAAACTCTTTATCACAATAA